AACGGGGGGGAGGAAGGGCCTGTATATACTGTCACGGGGTGGGGGGTGGGGGGGATTTTTTAATTGTGAGAAATCGATCATACGGTTGAGTAGCTGCTGATTTGTAGTAATGACGTCGTTTGTATGTTTGTAACCACGGAGATTTTAAAAGGGATGCTTGGGTTTGTACAAAACTCTCGACAACTGTAAAAGTGTTTTAAAAAAGCCTCGTCTGGGTCTGCCAACTTTCTCTTTGCCTTAAAGAAGGGGAAACGCCACCCCCTGGAAGCAGCGGAGCAGCTTTCCCTGCCTGGGGCTGTATCCTGCTGCCTGGGGGGCTGCAAGTTTGCTTCGTTCCTACTGTTGTTTCTGCCTTTAAATCCTCCCAATCAAGCCTGTTGCTAGGATCCTCGTTACTTGGTTACCTCCAGCTTCCCAGGACCCATCCGACTGGATCTGTTCTCTCTTTTCTTCCCCAGACGGAGCACGGAAACAACCCGGTCGCGGTGAAAAAGGCGAGAGAGTCAGGGGGTTCTTTAAGATCCAGATGCAAAGGAGGTGAGTAAACACCATTTGCGTCTGAAATCTTCCCCTTATCTCAGCCGAGAGCGGAGGAAAAACAGGTTTAGGGTTTTCTTAAAGCTTTTCCAGCAGAAATTCATCAGGGAAAACCTCTCCGGAGGTGACTGGCAGTGCCCACGGTGGCGTGCGTCCCGCGGTGAGAGGAGGCTTTCCGTCTCTTCCCGGAGCGCCGACCTGCAGCGCAGGGTGGGAGAAGGCAAACCCCAGCTCTCTCCGGACACCACGCCACCTTTTCCAGCTCAAAGGAATTTTTCCCTCTTAGATTTTTCAAAGGATGGTGTTGCACACAAAAAATCACCTGTTTTCTGGGAGTCCTCAGTTGGGACACCCCAATTAAATGTGGAGCAGGAAATACTTCTCCTCAGCGTTGCTGTTCCCAGCTCTTTGGTGTGTTCCCAGTCTCTGGCTTCTCGTGCCGGGGAAAGCAGAGGCCGAGGGTTTTCATCCCGGATGAGGAGGGGGTGTCCTGCTTGGAGACCCTGCTGCATCACCGCGGCTCATCTGGCCCTGGGTAACTCCCTGTAGGATCATCCCAGCGTCTGCAAAGCTCCGGGCTAGCACCCTCGAGCCAGGGGCTACTGGGGCAACCCGGGGAGGGTGTGAAACCAGCCTGGTTTGCTCTGTCCTTCGCGCCGGGGCCTTGGCAGCTTCCTGAGCCGAGCGTCGCCTCTCTGACCTCCGGCAGCTCCTCGTCCCTCCTCCCCAAGGCTCGGACAAAGGTGCCCGCACCGCAAGCTCGCAGCCCGCTCGCCAAGGCGAGCTTGGCACCTCTTCCCGGGTAGCGCTGCCGACGGTTGCCAGCGGCGCTTGGCCTGTGCCGGATGCTTTATCTGCAGAGCGCAGCGCAAACCTGCCCTCGCCTGCAGTGTGCCCGCTTATCCTCCTCCACAGCCGCCCGGGAGATAGGGGAGAGCTGCTCTGCCGAAGGCTGGGCTCCGAGTCGGCCCAGGAGCCTCGCGCTCCGCCTCCGGTGCCGTGTGTCCGGAGGGCCGCTGTCCGGAGGGGCGCTCCGTCTGTGCTGGCAGCGGACGGCGAACGGGCTGCAGGCAATGTCTGCTCATCCCTGACCAGACCTGGGGTGGGAAATGGCTGGTCCTGCCTTTACCCACCAGCCCGTGCTCCCTCCTCCCCTGCTTTATCCACGGCTTGGATGTTCGCAGCGGGACTTCTTAATGCATTTCGGGCTGTGATTGGCTTGATTTCTATTTCCAAGCTTTAGGAAAATACGGTTTTGAGGGTAACTGAACGCACTTGAATATTACACCCTGATCCCAGCCGCCTGCTGGTAACGAAATCAAGGTCAAAAATGAGACTTGGCAGGGTTTTGGTCAGTGTTTTACCCCATCCCCCTCGTTTCATCGCCCCTCACCTGCTTCCACCAGAAACCTCTCCGGAAGGTGCGGCTCAGAGTTCCCACGTGCAGACCCGGGGCGCTGGAGGCGGTTGGGTTGAAAACCTCCTGCCAAGCGCTTCCCGGCCGAGTCGCCCAAGGAGACGGCGCTCCGTGCAAAGCCGGCGGAGAGCGTGGAGCGTTGCCTGGGGGGGTTCAGCGGGGAGCCCGGCAGAACCCCGTTTTGGGGGTGGGGAGCTGCTGCTCTCAGTCGTTTGCCGAGGGGGTAAAACTGGCACAGGCACGGGGACCTGCTCCTTGGGGACGGGGCTTTTCCCTTTGCCACGAGATTGCCATGAAGAAAGCTCCGCTGCCCTTTGCCTTATTCCCAAGGAAATCTCTAGAGGTGCCAGAGTCCAAAGGTGTTTCGGCTGTGACCTTCCCAGCGCCGTGCGCAGCATCGGTCCCTGCTCCTGGAGCACACGGGAATAGTAGCTCCCTCCTGCTATTCCCAGAGCTTCCAGAGCAAGGAGGATGGCTCACCATTCCAAACCAGTCCAGCCCAGTTTCCAACGTGTTTATGCTGCATCCTGCGGGGCAGGAACCCCGATGCAGCGAGGTGCTGAGCTTTGGCGGCTCCCCTTGTCCCAGAAGGTTTCCTTCCCTCCGCAGCTCCAAACGAGGAGGAATTCCCTTCTCCACCCCACCGCTGCGCTTCCTTCCCTCTGGGCTTCCCTATTCCAGCCCGCTGAGGCCGGGTGCCGGTGGGTTTTCCCACCGGAGGTTGTTAGTGGGGAGGCGTGGGGTGCCCAGCCGTGCTGGCGATCCAGCTCCCCAAGCCTTGGGCGGGAGCGGAGCACGTAAGGAAAGGAAACGCTGGAAGGGCGCGTGTCCCGTCTGCTCCAGGTGCCACGGGGCTCCCAGCAGGGTCCCTGCGTGGGCTCTGCTGCTTCCCTTCGCCCTCGGGGTTCGGCCTGGTGAAGCACCGGGCAGCCGGACAAGGCGGCGGCTGTCCCCGGCCAACCTTGCTGATGGCTCTGAGGCGACTCATCCCGAGCAGTCGGTCTGCCCTTCCCGCTCGGCTTGTACGGCAGCGCCAGCCTTGCGCAGTCAGCGTCTTGATGAGTAGGGCACTGCCAGTCCCGAAATAATTACCGAGCCGTCACGTGTTTCCCCTGGAACAGGGTGTTTGGGTTCGGCTCCTGGTTTCCTCTCTCGAGGAAATTCTGCCTTTTCCTTGGCCACCCTTTTCTGACGAGAAAAGCCCTCGAATCGCCCTCCTGCCGTCGTGTTTCCCTCGGAGAACCAGCACCGCTGAGCTCCGACCTGCCACGCGAGGGGACGCGAGGGGACGCC